GCGTTTGCAGAGACAGTTAATGGAGAGGAGACTGCCCATCCTTCTCCCTCAGAGCAGCTGGTGGATTTGAACCGCGGGCCTTTGGGATTTCAGTATAGCTTCTTAGCCAGCAGAGTTCCCTAATTCACATCATTGTTGTTGTTGGAGTTGGAAATGACTCACCAACACTGAAGGAATTGAGTATGACACCATCGAATTGAGTATGACTCACAGTGACCCTATGAACAAAAGGCCTGAACCTTGTTCTGTAACTATCATCGTTTCTCTGTGTTCATAGTTTCCAGAGGCATGTGGTTTAGGAAGTGGATGTCACTCCTGCTTCCAAACCTGAATCAGTCTGGGAGCTCCACCAAACACTGTCCACGATGGGTAACCATCATGCCATTTGACACATCAGTGGCACAGCATTCAACATCACAGCAACCCCAGATTACTTCAAAACATCAAATAGACCATTGCTGTATCACAATGAAATAATTTTTCTTTACTTTTCAAAGCGAAGAGCGAACTGGATGGGAGGGGTGGGCAGGGAGAAAAGTGCAAAAATGAATGAGTGGAAATCCAAAGTCTCTGTAAACTTTGATTAAAATTAATAATTTGGGGAAGCAAAGCATGTTTATCCCAAAATATCAATTAACATTAGGCCCTTGGGCCCAACCACCTTTTAAATACAAGGCACATCTTCTACGTTCTTGTTGACATTAAACCAAGAGGCTTCCAGCCCACAGCTCAGTGTTAGCGGAATCTGGCAAATCCAATCAGCTAACACCCAAATGTGCACAAAAACCCTAAAACCCAAATGTTCCACACCCGGGCATCACCAAGATGTGAGAAACCATCTTCCAGAACCCAATCATTAGCAGTAACTAATTAGGTTAGTGGTGGTTGTTGTTGTTAATGTGTACCTGCAATCCATGGTGACCCTCTGTACAACAGCTCTGTCCTGAGTCAGTCTCACTGACTCCAACACACCAACTCCCATTGCCACAGTTACTGTATCAATCCATCTCATCTGGGATCGTCCTCTCCTGTGCTGTCCCTCCACCCTTCTAAGGACCATCCCCTTCCTGGCCACATGCCCAAAGTATGTGCGACACAGCTTCAAAATCCTGGCCTCCAAGGATTGGTTGGCAGTAGTTAACCAAAAACTTTTAAAAGTTAATCCATCAAATAGTTGCTTATACCTTTTGCCTATTAAAATGGAGTGTCTGGGCCTGTCCAAGCGTGGAGTCAGAGCATGTGGGTTGGTGTCATCAGAGGAGCCGTCTGGCCACTCCGCTAAGTCCCCTAGACACGTGTCTGACCTGGACAGATCTGATGACTGAAGAGATAACATCTGTCTACTTGTCTCTAAGTAAAGTCCACTGGTGTTGTCCTCCCGGGGCAAAGGGACAGGATCCGGGCTTGCTGGCACAGTGTGACTCAGCGTGACTGTTGGAGCATGTCAAGCTTTCCTTGAGGGCAGCATCCGGCTTTCAGCAAACTCCCAGTCAGCTGCCAGCACTAAATAAACAAAATAGCCTTTCGCTTGGCCACAGTACACCAGGATGTCTTCTTAAAAGAGAAATTGTTGTTGATTGCCTTCGAGTCGAGCACGACTCATAGTGACCCTATGAACAAAAGACCTGAAGCCCCTCTACAACCATCGACATTTATCAAAATTCATAGAGTTTCCGGAGGCAGGTTGTTTAGGAAGTGGAGGCCACTCCATATACAGAGGACAATTGCCCAGAAGGCCGTTTGTCCGGGCTCTTCTGTCAAAGCTCCCTTCTGCTGTGATCCCACCAAGCTTAAACCGCATCCTTGGCTTCAGCTTCCATCTTCCAGGCTCTCCTTTTGCTTTTTCCTCCATAATTCTTAGCACTTTTTGGTTCCTTTAGAAGAGCCCCGTTCTCCTTCTGATCCAGGCCAAAGATGGGGTTAGGATTCTGATTCCAAGAGAAGACCTCTCATACCTTCCCCATTTTCGTGACGGACCTATAGACCAGCCTCTCTACCTACCCACCTGTCCACTTACCCATCTATATCCAATGTATCTCCCTATGTACCTACCTATATACCTACCTAGCCAGGAGTCTTTGTGGCACAGTATTTAATCACTCAGTTGCTAAACAGAAGGTTTGAACACACCCACTGTTCCCTGACAGAAAGCTGCAGGCGTTTTTGTGCAAGAATTACAGCCTGGGGAAGTCAGCGGGCAGTTCTGGTCTGCCCTAGGGAGTCAGAATTACATGATTGCAGCGCGTGGTGTTTGATGATAAATCCTGCGACAGATGGCTAAGATGACAGAAAGGGCCGGGATGGTGGTATCCATGATGCCCGCATGCCCACCAGCGTGGCTGCCATCTGTCCATCACTGCTTTTTCCCCAGGGACGGTGGAGGGTGAGCCGACAGAAAATTCTTCAACCAAACCCATTTCTGTCAAGTCGGTTCCAACCCACAACAGTCTAGAAGAGCGTAGAGTAAACGGCCCCCTGGGCTTCCCAAGCCTTTTCATTTCCTGAAGATGACGCCCCTCTTTGTCCCATGGAGTGGCTGACAGGTTTCAAGTGCTGACCTGTCAGCTAGCGGTGAGAGCTTAACTCCATGCCACCAGGGCTCCTCACGTCCAACTTGGAAGAATCCCACTCTAAATAGCAAGTGGGACCACTCTTCCTAGGAGAAAAGCTGCTCTTTACAAACACACTGAGGGGGAAAAGGAGCAGATTTGTTCTATTTAGGGCCGTCCGGGTGGCGCATGCTTGAGTTCAAAATAAGGGAGGACTTTCTAACAGAGTTGTTTGCTGTGGAAAGTAGTACATTCTCTTTCTTTGGAAAAGTTCCAAACCTGAGTCTGTATGAGTCTCCACATCCTGCGGTCGTCTTTGAATTGTGATGCTGGTGAAGAACAGGAACTTCCAAAAGAACAACCAAATCTGTTTCGTAAGCAATGCATCCTGGGTGCTCCTCGGACGTAAGGGTGGTGAGGCCTGACTCCCTGGTCTCGGCATGCCATCAGAAGGGGCCAGGCCCCGGAGAAGGACATCAAGGAAAAGTAGAGAGCCAAAGACAGGGAGACCCTTAACCAGATGGCCTGATGCCATGGCTGCAACCAGCAGGATCTGTGGGGGTCTCACAGGGAGCTCTGCTGGCCTAGTGGTAAGAAGCTGAGCTGCAATATCCAAGGCACACGGTTCGAATCCATCAGCTGTGCCATGGTAGAAGGATGCGCAATCTCTTCTGGGCCACTAACAGCCTCTGAAAACCTGCTGGAGGGTCAGCTATGGGTTGGTTCCGACTCGATGGCACACAACAACTGGAAAGCCTTTTCTGGGGTTTCACTGGGACGCTGCCCTCCTGTGCTAACCCATCACCTCTAAACACACTGTAAGGATGAGGAAACCAAGGTTAAGAGGAATTATGGGACTTGACCAAAGTTACAGTTAGAAAGTAGCTGAGATGGGATTGAAGCCAAGACATTTCACTTGACTCCAAAACCTGTTCTCCTTCTCCTGCATCATCCAACCTCAGGCAACATTTTTCCCTTGGATCCACACCCACTCTTGCTAAGACTCACCCTAGCTGTGTGTTTAAACCATTATAGGTAGGGTAGTGGTACCTCAGTGGGAGAATTCTCACCTTCCCTGGGGGTTTGATGAGGGTCAGCTGTGGTACATAAAAACAACTGCTCTATTAACCCAATGTTGCTGAGTGTCACTGAGTTGGAACTGACACATAGCTGTCCCTCTACGGGCTTTTCAGAGGCGGTAAATCTCACAGGACATTAACGATCCTTCTCTAGCAGGGCAGCTGGTGGATTCAAACCATGTGCCTTTGGGATTGGAGCGCAACTTCTTACCAATAGGCCACCAGCTCCCTATAACCCAAGTATTAGAAAACCAATTTTCCAGGCTAGGAAGGGTCCCCAGCCAGGGTTCAGCCCTCGCTGTTGTTGGGTGCTACTGAGAAGGTCTCCAGTCCTGGTGACTGCGCGTGACAGCGCAGGGCGGTCCCTGTGGTCTCCTCGGCTGTAATTTTTACAGGTGCAGACAGACAGCCAGGTCTTTTCTCCTGCAGAACAATCGGGAGGTTCCGCTTGCTGACCTCCCAGTTGACAGCCCAGCACCTAACCTTCGCACCAATAGGGTTCTTTCAGCTTCAGTGGAGCAGCCGAGGGCTGGGGGACTCTGCATCAGTTTCCCCCTTTGGCAGTGGAAGTTCTGGCTCTGCTGTCCTGGTGGGAAGGCTGTGAGATCTTAGCACAGTCTAACGGCGACTTACGCCGAAATAAAGTCAGTGTGACTGACCACCCCACCGGGCCCCCCGCAACATAGAGTGCAGTTATCCCAGGAGATGGCTGGAACCCGAAAAGTGGTGCGAGCCACACATGCACGAGCGGAGAGGACCGGGGGGCGGGGCCAGTAGGGGCGGGGCCAGCAGGGGTGGGGCCAGCGGCCGGCTCGGCGAGGGCCTGCAGGCTTGGAGAGGTGCGCGTGCGCCCGAGTATCCAGGGGGCGGGGTATATGTGGGCGGCCACCCTGTGGCCCGCTGGGTGGAGGCTGGCAGGGGTGGAGAGGTGCGCGTGCGCTTGGCTAGGGGGCGGGGCTCTCCAGGAGGCGGGGCTCTCCAGCGGGCGGGACACACGGGGCGGGTCTCTCCAGCGGGCGGGACACACGGGGCGGGGCCAGTGGCCCTCGGCGAAGGCTCCCGGGGTGGAGAAGTGCGCTCGCGCCTGGTTCGGGGGCCGGCCCAGGGGCGGGGCTCTCCAGGAAGTGTGGCTTATGGGGGCGGGGCCATTGGCCCTCGGCGAAGGCTCGCAGGGGTGGAGAAATGCGCATGCGCCTGGCTCAGGCGCCGGCCCGGGGGCGGGGCTGTCCCGGGGGCGTGGTTATCCCGGGGCGGGGCCGTGTCGTCACGCGCATCCCCGCCCCTCGCCGGCGTCTGTCTCCGGGAGGCGGCAACCGCTCCCCCTCGGCGGTTCGGGGTTTCCAGCCGGTTGCACCCCAGCTCTCTGGTGACGATGGGGGACCCCAGCAAGCAAGACATCCTGACCATCTTCAAGCGGCTCCGCTCGGTGCCCACCAACAAGGTAACGGGCGGCGGCGTGCTCGGCCTGCCGGGCATCCCCGCGGACCGCGGCCACTGCGGGAGGAGGAGCCGCCCGCTGTGACACGTCGCACTGTGGGGCCGTGGCGGCCTGGCCAGCCAGCTGGACGGAAGGAGGGCCGCACAGCCGCCGACCCCGGGGGCCGGGCACAGGGGCTCCTGGGCGGCCCTGGGGGGGGGCCACCTGTGGGTTCCTGTCACCGGGCTGGGAGGCGTGGGGAGGCTGCTGGGGGTGGACACGTGTGAGTTTGTGGGCGATCTGGGGGCAGGCATGGGAGAACGAACTCCTGAGAGTGGGGGCCGGGTACCCCAAAGAGAATTGGGGGGTCCTCACAGGACACCTGTGACCCACCTGGGGTGCAGACATGGAATTACCTGGGATCCCCAGCTGGCAGAACTGGACCCCGCTTTGGGGTCTCCCTCCCCACTTTGGGGTTCCCCTCCCCACCTTGGGGACCCCTCAAGTTCCAGGGGTGCCTGGGGAAGCCAGGGTGCCCTGGGCCTCCAGGTGGCATCCTGGACACGTCTTCCTGCCAGACATACCTGCCCAGCATGGCTTCCAGCTCATTCCCTTTAGCTCAGAAACAGACCCTTTTCCTCTTCTTGCTTGCGGTGGGTGTCTGGCGGTCAGAGTTCCCTCTTTCATCTTCCCACCCCATCCCCCTCAAATAAACTTTGACAACTTTTTGCCACCGTCTGGAGGTGTTGTGATGACGCAACGGGAGGATGTGACTCCCTGGCTGAGAATCACAGGTCAGAGTGCAAAGGGCTGTGTCCTGCTCTTGCCCTGTGTCCACCAGACCTGTCAGGAGCTCACCACTCCCGCCTCCCAAGAAGGCAGCTTAACACAAAGTTTAGGTGGCTCTGTTTAAATCTTTATGGTAGTAACTTCCAGACAAATCACATAAAAATAAAAAGGGAGGGAGGTCTGTGAGGTGGTGGATACTGGGTGCCAGTGGTTTCCAACGCATAGCAACCTGATGAGTGACGGGGTGGGAAGTGACTCAGAGGGTTGTCCAGGCTGTGAGCAGAGTGCCAGATGCGGAGGCTTCCCAACTGCCAGCCTGCTGGCTAGCGGCTAAGCATTGAACTCTCTCTCACCTCAGGGTTCTTTGATGGTGGGGAGGCACCCCTGTTTTCACAACCTGAGAGGAGGGAGGAAGCCGTGATCCAGGGAGAGTGAGGTCTGCCAGAGAAAGCGCCAGTGCCACGTTTCTTCTGAATTCTTGGGATGCTCAGGTTTTGATTGTGCCCTTTTTAGAGAGAGGCAGCTGTGCAACGTTGCAAGATTAGGATCTGCTTAACGTTGTGGAAACCAGAAGGTTATTGGGTTGTCTTTATCACTGACACAGGTCAGCGTATTCAGTTTGACTGTTTCCATCAACGTGTGTCCCCTTCTGACGCTGACGTCAATGTCTTTCTACCACGAGACACTTTAGAGGGGCTCACCTGTAAAGGACTGTCCACACTATCACTTTCCAGCTCTGTCACCTGAGGGGGCAAGCTACTCGCCCCCTTCATGACGTGTTTTCCTGATCTGAACTCAGATCCATGAACTCGACCTGACTCCAGTGGTTCTTGTGAAAATGAAAGGAGATGGTCTAAGAGAAGCATTTGGAGCGGTCTCTGCCTGTTGTCAAAAACAGCTTGCTTCTGCCCAGCCAGGCTCGAGCCCTGGTGGCTCAGGCGTTACAGAGGGGATGTTCTGTCAAGTTTCCTCGGCTGTAGCCTTTACAGAAGCAGATCACCACTCCTTCCCCCTCCCCCCCAATGGTGGTGTTGGCGAGATTTGAACTGCCCCCCTTTCGGTTAGTAATCAGGTTCATCTGTACCACCTGGGGGCACTCCATCCATTGGGTTTTGCAACTGTGAATCTCAACAGGCAGCAGACACCTCATTTCCCTGCCCCAGAGCAGCTGGTGAATTGGAACTGGTGACTTTTATTAACTGATAACTGATGACTCTCATTTAGATGAGATGTAACCTGCTGTCCCCCCTGCCGTCCCACCTGTCTCCCGCCTGCCTCCCCCCCTGACTCCCACCTGCTTTCCCACTGCGGCTCCTTCCTGTGAACCAATCAGACCCTAATCATAGCTGACCCCCCAGTGGGTTTGTGGGGCCGTGAATAGCATGTTGTTGTTGTTATGTGCTGTCGAGTAGCTTGTGACTCATGTGTACAACAGCCCTAAACTCTGTCCTGTGCTGATCGCACTGTCTCTCATCCCGATTACCCCAATCACTGAATCAATACTCCTCATAGAGGGTCTTCCCCTCTTGTGCCATCCCTCCTTCCTCCCAAGCATGATGTCCTTCTCCAAGGACCGGTCCCCTCCTTACAACATGGTCAAAGTATGTTAGAGCCTCAGAACCCTTTCCTCCAAGGAGCAGCCCGGTTTAACCCTTTCCAGGATGAATCTGTTTGTTTTCCTAGCAGTCCATGGTATTCTCAATACTCTTCTCCAGCACCACAGCTCAAAGGCATCAATTTTCCTTCTGTCCTATTTAGTCATTGCCCAATTCTCTGATGCATAACAAGTGATAGTAAAGACCATGGCCTGTATCAGACACACCTTAGTCTCCAGAGAGACACCATTGCTTCTTCAGTACTTTGGAGAGGTCCCTAACAACAAACTTTCCCATCGCAATACGTCTTTTAATTTCCTGGCTGCTGATGCCAAGAGTGTTGATTGTGGAGCCAAGCAAATTAAAGCTGCGAACAATCTCAATCTCTTCACCATCCATCCTGATGCCACCAGTTGGTCCAGTGGTGAGAATCTTTGTTTTGTTGATATTGAGCCTCAATCCATATTGAAGGCTGCAGTCCTTGACCCTCTGCAGCAGGAGCTTCAGGTCCTCGTCAGTTTCAAGCAGGGTTGTGTCATCTGCATAACGCAGATTATTGATAGATCTTCCACCAATCTTGACCCCACATTTCTCCTCATAGAACCCAGCCTCCCAGATAATCTGTTCTGCATACAGGTTGAAAAGTTATGGAGACAGGACACATCCCTGTGTACGCCCTTCCCGATTTTGAATCATGCAGTGTTTCCTTGCTCTGTTCTGACAAGGAGAGAACCATCTTTCCCCCTTGGAGCTGCTGTTGGATTCAAACCCCCAGAGAGGTGTGTTCTTAGGTTAGCAATGCAGCCCCCTATGGAGTGCACCCCAGAGCATATTTACCACATATGATCATATATCATATATTTATTAACACATTTCTGTGTATGCGTATATCGATAGATATTCATCAATAAATATGAGCTATGTTTTGTTGTTTTTACTCTGCTTTTCTGTCAGATACTGTTCTAAATCTGAGCATTCGAACTGAGACAGACTAGGAAGAAGGCTTGACCATCCACTTCCAAAATAACAGGCCTTTGAAAAGCCTACGTACAATAGAGCACACTGAGAGCAGCAGATAGGGCAACTGAGGCTGAGCCCTCAGATGTGGAAACACAGAATAGGAGGAACACTTGTAAGCAGACACTAGTGACTGGAAGACCCTTGATGAGATGGATTGACTCAGTGACTGGGGTAATGGGGTGTCAGAGGCAATAGGGTTGGCTCAGGACAGGGTGCGGTTCAGAGCTGTTGTACTTAGGGTCGCTGTGAGTCTCAAGTGACTCAAGGGCACATAGCAACAATAATCAGCAGCATTCCTGCCTTGTGTTGCTGCTGTGTACCATCCGGGCAGATCTGACCCGTAGCTGACCCTGACCCTCTGTTAGGTTTTCAGAGGCAGTAAATCATAAGAGGGGAGATTGCTCATCCTTCTCCTGTGGGGCACTTGGTGGATTTGAACTGAGTGTCTTTGAGATTGCAGCACAGTTTCTTACCAGTAGGCTACCAGCATTCCCTTCCCGTTTTTGTCATAGAATTAATGAAAGCATTGAGCAGAAACATTTCCTGGTAATGGTCTCTGGTAAATGACTATATTTCTTTATAAAAATGTTCTATTTGGAGGCTGGTAGAAAGCCAGACAAAGGTGAAAGTCCATTTTGGGTGTGAAGTGGCTGCCATCAGCGCACAGTTTTGTTATCGGGTCAGAGAGCTCTCGGGTCTGCACGAGGCAGACGGAGGAGGACGGCCTAGGCCACGTCTGCAATGTGGTCTCAGTGTCTTCCTCTGGTGTGTGAGACATAACTCCTCAGTGTCAGGTTTGTCATTTGTGAAATTATCTTGTGTCCTTTCACTGTCCCTTAGTTTTTCCTAGACTGTGAGTTTTTTGGTTTTTAAAATTAAAATAAAGCATATAGTGTATTTTAGTATTTGAAAATTGGGAGATGCACCTTCCTTTTGTGGTTGTTAGGTGCTGTGGAGTCAAGTGGACTTAGAGTGACCCGGTGAACTTCTCAGCGCTCCGAAGTGGGTCCTGTCCTGAGTCACGCTCATAATCTTGGGCACGCTTGAACCTGTTGCTTCAGGCACTTTGCTAAGGGTTGTCTTCTTAAAACTACACCTTCCTTTGCTATGGAAAAGTTGTGTGTGAATGTGTGCATCTAGGGACGTAAGGTTTCACTGGTTCATTTCTGACAAGCAATCACCAGGCCTTTCTTCCTTTGTGGATTGTGAAATTATTCACCTGAGAAGGACTCACGGAGCGTGGAGGGGGCTGGGCATCAAGGATGCACGGATGGGGGAGAAGCCCGGCCCCGGCCCTCGGAGAGCCCTGGGTGTGAGAGTGAAGGACAGACTGACAGACACAGGCTGTGAGAGGCAGGTGGTGGAGGTGAAGGGCGCCTCTGCCTGTTTGTTAGCTGTGGAACATGACTTTGTAATTTTTTAAAATGAGAATTTCTCTGAAATGAGGCCTACACTGGTTACGTAATCTGTGAGACTCAGTACAAAATGGGTCTCTGGTGGCCTTGTGGGTAAAGAGTTGCACTGTCGACGGAAAGGCATGCTGTTCGAATCCACGAGCTGCTCTGTGGGGGAAAGATGGTCTTTCTCTGCTTGTGCAACTCACCGCCTCTGAGAACCCGC